GGGCCTTGACTGGGGGAAACGAGGTGCCAGGGAACGTCCTGGGGCAGCGGCTGAGCTGGAGTTTAAGGAGGTGATGGTTTCCCGGAGGACCTTGGGCTGAGGCTGCCTTACTCTCCTGCCAGGAGAAGGGGGCCCTGGTGGCAGAGTAGCAGGGAGACCCCCTGGGCCCCGAGAGAGGGCAGGGGTCCACGTTACAGGCCCTACCCGATCCCAGGTGTCTTGGGCTGCTGCACAAGGCCTCGTTGGGCTTTAATCATCCATAAGCTTGGGACACTACAGGCAGGCATTTTCACGGCAGGAAGTCAGCCTGCCGGCTGGACCGTCATGCTCCCAAGGGGCCGTCCAGCTCTTAGACTTTTCCACTGTTCTTGGTTTCAGTAAACTGGTCCTAGGTTGAAAGAGCATGGGGTCTTTTCTGTGTAAAACTGGGTTTGTTGCCTAATCCTCGGTGAGACAAGTTGGAATTGGTGCCTGGCTGCTGGGACACAGCTGGCCTGGGCCTGCAGGGACCTAACCCTCAGGTACACAGGTGGCTCAGGCACAGGGGTAGAGGATATTTTCACAGCCACCTGCGCTGGGCCTTGAAGGTCGTGTCCTGGCAGATGTTGGGGACGAGAAGTCCAGGCAGGGGACCTGCACATGGGGGTTGGGGCGTGGAAGCCTCCTGGCCTGAGGCAGAGCTGCCTTCGCAGGTGAGCAGGGCGCAGACTCAGTAAGGCAGCTGTTTGTGTTCTGACCTTTAGCTTTACGGCGTCGCTGCTCCCGGCCCTCTCCCAGTACCTGCTTTCGATGTATAGTAGAAAGTTAATTTCCCCGCTCTGACCTCCCCACCACCGCCCACCGCTTCGTTTACCGGATTTGGATCCCTCGCACATGTTTTTAATAGGCATCCCTTTGCCTTCTGGGTTTTATTCTGTTTTCCTTTCCTTAAACAAAACAGAAAGTCAGTGCCAGCTTGGAATCGGGCTCAGAGCTGAAGCCAGCCAATGCGTTAGGCTGGCAGGGGGCCAGTCGAGAATTAAGTGCCCCGTGCTCCTCGAGTGGTCTGGCCGACACCGCACCGGTGGGGACAGGGGGCCGAGAACGGCTGCAGCGGGAGGCTCCTGCGTCTGCAACACCTCTGCTGCAGGAAGAGAGATTGGCACAGACTCAGCAGTCTGGCCGAGAGCAGAAGCGTTTGAAGGGAAGGCCTTGGGCACATGCCATCAGCTGCCACTCCAGGTGTGCTGAGTCCTTGGCTAGAGAAGCGAAACCACTTTCCACTGGGGCAGGTCACTTTACCCTGTAGAGTTGTCCTCCCAGAGGAGCCTGTGAGTGGCATATGTTCAGGGTTTTTAGAAGCAACCTTACATAAAATTGCTTCTGCATTTGTTGGGAAACTCTTGAAACTAGGGTAGGCTGGCTGGCTGGCTGGCTGGATTGATATGGGGGAGGAGTAGTCACCTGAAGATGTCATTTAAGATTTAGTGCCCAGGACAAGTTTGTTTCCCCTGCAGAACTCGTAAGGGTTGTCTGTCCACCAACCAGAGCCATGTAAGCATATTATGCTCCCTTTTTGCCTTGTCTGCTAGGAAGCTTGGACCCAAGCTCAGTGCTCTTTCAGGAGCTGTAACTTCATGGTTAGCCTGTTTATAGTCTTCTCTTTTCCAGGGTCCTGACTTTGTCTTGTTCGGGACCATGGTCTGGATAAGTCCTTTGGTAGGAAAGAAATGACATACATGAAGTTTAAAATAAAGTGCCATTCAAGGCATAACCCTGAGGTGGTGATCATACTTGGGTCTGCAGCTCCTCTTACAGAAATGCCTTGAGGAAGCACTGAGGGATGATGGGAGGGAGAGAGGTGAAAGGCAGGGCTGACTGTCAGTTGTTTGCAGACAACAGTAAGTGCATGGCTGTGGTGCTGTTTCTGAATGTAGGTCAGCTCGTCCAAACAGCAGTCCCTGAAATGGCAGCCTTCAGACGTTGCCTTGGCCTGACTGCTCTGTTCCCCCAGCTAGCATCTTCTTAATTATGTGTCAGGCTCCTGCATCCTGTGTTTTCCACAGCACTGTTCAGTGAGTGTCTGTGAGTTGCAGGGATGTTTAGATAAGGGCTCAGATCTGCTTGGGAGGGCCTCTTGGGCTAGGACCCCAAGCCTCTCTCTGATTCCGAGACACCTTGAAGCCTACACGTGCCCAGAATATGGTTCTGGCCCCATGTTACCCAATGGGTGGCCTGCTGGCTTCTCTTCTTTTGATGGGTGGGCTGGGTCAGTGTTCCTGGGAGCCTAGCTTGCTCACTTCTGCCTGGACTAAGCCCAGGAGGTGCTGGAAAAGGCTTTATAATTTGGAGATGAAGACTGCTCTGTTCTGTACTTGGCTAGAGAAGCCAAGGCCAGCCCAGATCAGCCATAGCTGCCTCTTCGTGGTGACCCATGCCAGAAACACCGTGACCTACATGGTCTGCTTTCAGTGGCTTCCAGTACACTGCAGTCACTGTTCAGACTGGGCCACTGAGGCCAGAGAGGGACGTCATGTCCCTCAGGTTGCACAGCATGGTCACCAGAGCTTGCCTCTGGGAATTCCCCAGTACCTCTGGCCCTGACACGTCGCCAGACCACTTTGAAGGCTTGGAGTGCACTTGGATTTCTTAGGAGGTGGTGGTGGTTTTTTTTTTTTTTTTTTTTTAAGGTTTCCAAAGCAACATAGCTCACATTTTAGTGACCACATTGTTTAGAATATAGCTTATCTCATTGGAATGTCAAGCATCGAGCAAAGCCAAAGCCGGATGTGACTGGTGTGGCTCAACCCAGCCTCGGGGGCACTGGCCGCAGGCCATGGTCGCTCCTGCCCCACCACACCACTTTCACCATTAAGTAGTGTGGGCCCTGGCAAGAGGAGGGGCAAGGGCACTTTGCTCCTTTTGGATGGAGGTCAGGACAAGAACAGGATCTTTTCAAGTTCATATAACCAAAATTATTATAATTTCTGTTAACACCATTTATTGAGTGCTTGATGTGTGCCCCGCTCTCCACTTGAATTCTCTCAGTCCATCCACAAACAGCGCCTGGTGATAAAGGAGATTCTCCACTCTGGTGACCCAGGGGGAGATGTGGACACTGAAACTCAGAGTTTAACTGGTTTGCTCAGCAGCACACAGCTGGTCTGTGTCTGAGCAGACGGTGGACGATGGTCCATCTGGCCTTGAAGCTTGTGCTCCATGACCTGGTCAAACATCTAGGGCAGTGGTTTTCAACTGGGGCCTATTTTGCCCCGTGGAAGACTTCTCGCAATGTCTGGAGGCATTTCTTACTGTCACAGCTGGGACGTTGAGATGGATGTGCGCCGCCGGCATCTGGTGGGTAGAGGCCAGGGATGCTGTGCACATCCTAGAGGGCACAGAACCCTCTCCCCACACAGACAGAATTATCTGGCCCCAAATCTCAATAGTGCCGAGGCTGAGAAACCTGATGTAGGTGTCCTGACCCTCTAGCTGACTCTTCCTGGGTGTGTTGAGTGCAGGGACATCACGGGCTGCAGCTCCTCCCGTGTGTGCTGACCTTCTCTTTACCCTTAGACGGGATCATGGGCGTAGACCCCAGAAGGAGATCTGGGCCACTTTGCCCTGCAGGGGGACCCGGGCCCCTCCTGGAACGGCTTCTGGTATTTTCTCTCCTGGGCTTTACGCACTTTCAGAGGTCTGGTGAGCTGAGCAGAGGTTCTCGTGGGTTCTCGCTCTGGGAAGTTGCCCCGCGGGCGGTGAGCAGGGGTCTTGGGCCAGTGCTGAGACTTGGCACGGCGAGCCTTTCCCATCACTCTCACTGGCTCCCACAAAGACACGCCCTGAGAGTGACCAGGCGGCTCCACGTATATGTAAGAGCCAGAGCAAGTGACTCAGGCTGGAGGTCTGAGGCGGAGGAATGAGAGCAGCAGAATCCCTGATTCGCCAGCAGATGGTGGGATTCAAGTATGCAGCCCGGGGAGCAGTGCAGAGCAGAGAAGCAGCTGGAAGGGCTGGCTGGAGTGCTGGGGAGTCCTGTCAGAGGCGTGGCACTGCTGCAAGTGAGGAATGACGAGGGCCCGGCCCAGGGCCAAGAGGATGGACCCTAAGGTGGGAGATGACACACAGACAGACGGGCAGGAGGAGGGCAGGGGTACCTGGGCAGGTGTGGAGCCTGGAACAGCTGGAGGTGACAGGAGGCGTAGGGAATTGCGGGAAAGGTAATGTGGAGGCACGTGAGGGGAAACCTCTATTTCAGGGGTTCCCACCTCTTCTGAGAACCACCCCCTCACAGGATGGCAGTTTGCTCTGAGGAGCCCTTGACCGAGACACAGACTGACAACTAGGATAAATTCAGAGCTTCTTTTAGGTGAGTTTGTGTCTTAGCCACCCCAACAGAAAGGCATCTGGATACATTTGGAAGATAGTTTCCGTAATAAGAGGCAGGGACCCAATTCACTCTGTAGACGGTGCCTAGTGCCTGGTGCCTGTGTGGCTGTAGACACAACCCCCTGGGCCGCACCAGCCTTGTCATTTCACAGGCTTGGACGCTGCCACCTGACAGGCTAGGAGTTAGCCCACGACCAGGCAGAGCCAGAAGCTGCAAGCCCTTCTGGGGGGCAGGGATCAGCATGGGTTACTCTGGGGACCTTGGGAGAGAGGCAGATGGTGTGGCCAGACTGCAGTGGGCACTCCTGGCCTGTCCGGTGCGTTTAGCCAGGTGCTTGTTGGTCTCAGGGCCTTTTGGGTTTGACCCAGCACCTCCTTGAGTGGCTCAGGGCGGGGCAGGGCCTTTGTGAGCTCAACTAAATAAAAAGCACCAAGGCCAGTGGAATGCACCTCCCAACACCTGAGGATTTTGTCCCACTGGATCCTACGAGTTTTACACAGTAAAAGGGTGGGGGGTATTCTAATGCCCTGAGAGGTGGGGAAACAGGCTTCTGGAGCATCTAGGGGACTCCATCCAGGAGCTCAGGGGCTGGGGGGGCCCCCTGACCCAGCGGCGCGGCCTGTCTCCTCAGACCTGCAGCCCGTCACCTACTGCGAGCCGGCCTTCTGGTGTTCCATCTCCTACTACGAGCTCAACCAGCGTGTCGGGGAGACATTCCACGCCTCACAGCCGTCCATGACAGTGGATGGCTTCACCGATCCCTCCAACTCAGAGCGCTTCTGCCTGGGGCTGCTCTCCAATGTCAACAGGAACGCGGCCGTGGAGCTGACGCGGAGGCATATCGGTAAGGGGCGGCCGCGCTCCCCCCCGTGACACCACCCCGCGCCCCAGCCAGCACAGCCCCTGCCAGAACCCACCAGCCACCACTGTGCACCTCCCCCGTGCCCGTCCCCCAGGCTCCGTATTGCCTTGTTTAGGGGCCAGACAGGTAGAGTTCCGGTTGCTTGATCGTTCCCACTGAGAGACCATTTCTGAAAATTTGAAAGCCACAGAGGAGGACAGTTGACTTTCTTGAGAAAGACAACCGTGCAATTCTCTTAATAAAAATACCCTTGAAGTACTGACAGGTGGACAAGTATATAGGCCACCTTGGAGGAATGCTGTTCTGTCTGTTCACTTCATATATGATTGTTCTAGGAACTTAGAAGAGGTGGAGAGACCAGTATTGCCCGCTGCCAGGACACCACTGCTGCTAACACTCTCTCCTGACACCCAGCACGTGGTGAAAGATCACTTAGTTTAGGGAGGATGAAGCCTTGCTGTGTGTCACTTGGTTTGCTCATAAAATTATCATGCTGAGGATGGTCACAGCTTTGCGATGCAGAGTCCTAGAAGGGCCACAGAGATGGTGTAGAGATGGTGGGTATTCTCAGACATTGTTCAGTGCACGCAGGGTGGCCAAGGGGTTCCAGAGTAAACTCAGGAGCTGGGCAGGGCAGCAGGGGTCTGGGCGCATGTGAACCAGAGCACCTCTGCTCTTGTTTGTATCGTATCTTGCGCCTTCACAGAAGATTTCATTTGGAGAGAGGGTTTTACAGTCAAGAAAAGTTTGGAAGCCATCGGCCTGCACCAGTGTGCCTGTTTTCCAGGGAATAATAACTTGATGCCCAGGGAGGGGCAGAGCCCTGCAAGAGGCCACACGGCAAGTGTGTAACACAGTCGGTGACAAAGGGCCCCCTCCTGCCCCTGAGCCTGCATCCTTCCCAGACAGCCTCCTACTTGTTTTCTTTTTAAAAGATCCTCAGTGGTTTACTTACCCACTTTATACTTTTCTATATTTAAATATAACATTTCAAAAATTACGCAAACATTTTTGTTCTTTGGGTCTGGGTCTTCCCACCTGCGCCTCCTGCTCTTGACCGACATAACTCCAGGGCGCCTCCTAGTGGCCCCCAAGCCTGTCAGCACCCTGGTGTCTGTGAGCCGCCAAGTCCTGTAGCACTGAGCCAGGAAGAACTGGGGAGTGGCGGGGCCGGGGACAGTGGTGGGACGAGGAGGCAGGCCTGCAGCGGGTCACCTGGTTTCCATCCCACTCCACGTTGCGCCTGTGAAAGCTGGCTCCATTCCCCGGCCCTCTGGGCCTCTGCCCCCAGGAGTGGGAACAAAGACCTTCCAGGCAGGACAAGAGAACATCCCCTGGCTGAGCAGACACTCATTGTCAGAGGGTTTATGTAACTTGCTTGAATTGCAGAGCCAATTTAAAAATAATTTCTGTCCATCTGGAGTGGATTTAAGAGATGAAGGGAAAGTAAATGATATAAAGCTATGGAATGTTTTAGAAAAATGCATCGAGGGGAGAAAGGTACAGGAGTGGCACTAATTAAGCCATCCTGGCAGTGAAGGGCTCCTGGGGTATCTGCTGCCTCAGGAGGAGCTCTGCAGGCTGACTAAATGAGTTTCTGAATCTTGGAGGGGGAAGGGACCTAGTAGCAGCAGCAGCAGCAGCAACTACTGCTCACCAGGCACTTGCTGTGTGTCCTACAGCAGCCCCATGAGGTAGGTATTATTGTTACCCCCATCTTACAGATGAAGAAACTGAGGCTCAGCGGCTGAGTAACTTGGCCGAGGCCCATGGCAGGTCATTGGCAGAGGCTGCTGTTAAGACTTACCCATGCTCTTTCCTCTCGTCGTCTGCCTCCCCAGCTTTGGCAACCTAGCGTCACCCATCACTTCCCCGTGTGTTTAGGCTTGGGCTCTGGGCCCCGTTTGCCTGGTGACCCTGGCAGAGAACCAGTCACTTGGAGCATCGGCTGCAGTTCTGCCTCCTTTGGTAGCCTCAGCTGGTGCCAGGACCTCTCTGACCCGAATCTCTGTAGGGCGAGGCGTGCGGCTGTACTACATCGGAGGCGAGGTCTTCGCAGAGTGCCTCAGCGACAGTGCCATCTTTGTCCAGTCTCCCAACTGTAACCAGCGCTACGGCTGGCACCCAGCCACCGTCTGCAAGATCCCACCAGGTACCACCACCAACATACCCACCCTTTCCCTGAGGTCCTCTCCTCTGCGGCACATGCCTGGGATGCTGGAAAGGTTTCTTCTCTCTTACCTTTTCTCCTCATTGGTGTTTGCATTGACAATCTGGAGATGCTTCCCTTGGGTTTTCTCTCTGCCTTGCTGTCTTATTGTGACCTCCCCAAACCTTCGGGGAACAGACGCAGCATCTGACAGATGTGCCTTTGATCTCTGGGTACCTGTTTATTGCCTGTGTGCGTAGATGCTAAGATAGTATGCCTGCTTCCTTCCTTCTTTTCTCCCTCCCTCCCTTCCTTCCTAAAGCCATGCCAGATGCTATAGGGGGATGGAGGGGTGCAGAAGTCCGACTGCTGTCCCCACAGACCTTACCCATGAGCTGAGTGTACAAGGCAAAGACACAAATGCGTTTAATACAAGGGAGGGTGCTACGCACCATGCAAGCAGCACAGGTAATGTGCTCTTGGATCTAAGGGGAAAAACACATTTAACTGTTAGGATGGATCAGGAAAGGCTTCATGGAGAAGGCATTTGGGCTTGGAGCCGTAGGTAAGCATTAGGCGTAGGGTGACGGTGGGGCGGGGACCGTGAGGGCATTCCAGGCAGAGGGAACGACATGGGCGAAGGCCCAGAGGTGATGGAGGGCAGGGCACACGTGGGCTGCACTCTGCCTGCAGTGGAGGCCGTTTAAAAGACAGTCGGGAGACATGTTTAGAAAACACGATGGGACCAGGCCACGGAAGGACATGAGAAAGTTTTGCGTTTATTCAGGGGGACTGTTGAGGGTTTTCTGAGTAGGGCTACGAATCCCACCTGTACTCCAAGGGGTGGCAGGCTCACCCCAGAGGGTGGCTTGGACAGGGCCAGGCCTGGGTACATGACCAGGCAGGTGGCTGATCTCATCCAAGGCCTCTTTATTTAGAAAGCTGAGGCAGAAAGCCCCTGCCGCAGCCCACTCCTCCCAGGGCACGCAGCCGCAGAGTGTGGACTATGCCCGGTGGGTAGTGTGTGTGGCTCAGTCCATTGCCTGCGGCACGTGTGGGGCATGTCTTCCTGCTCACTAAGTAGCAGTTGATGGTGGAGCAGTGGGTCATGGGCTGGATCAACTCAAGAATGCAAAGAGTTTGAGATGCTCGTGGTGCTCTCCATTTCTGGAATGTCGTGTGGTTGCGTTTACAGAGCACACGGCTATCTTGGAGCTCACTTAGTCCTCACCAGTTATTCTAGCTCTTCAGGCGAGGAGGCATGCTGAGGAGACAAGGTCAGAGAGGTTAAGCTACCTGCAAAGGACACAGAGCTAGTAAGTGGCTGAGCCAGGATGAGCCTAGGGCTGTGTGCTCCCCTGCTGCTTGCTGGGCGGGGGACCGGAACTCACCTCGGGCCCTGCTTCACCCCTCTTCCCCTCAGAGAAAATGAGAAGAGGAAGTCCAGATGTGCACTTGGCTTTCTACCCATCCCCCGGCCCCACCCTCTCCCTCTCTCTGGCTCGGCAGAGCTGGCTGTGATGCTGGATGTTATCTCATGGGATGTCAGAGCTGGGGGGCCTCTGAGGCCAGCCTCTCCTTTCACAAGGGAGACACAGGCTTAGAAGAGAAAGTGACCAGCCCAGAGTCACGCAGCAAGCCGAGGGGCACAGTGCTGGCCTGTTAGTGTCACCTCAGTTCACCTATTTTGGGCATTTTCGGCATGTGCTTTTTTTTTGTCTTTTATTTCTCTGATTGACACATTCCTGGCACTCAGGCGGTAGGACTTTGAACAAGAGATTTACGGTAAACTTTGTGTGTGCCTGTCTCTGGTTTTATGCCTGGAGTTAGGTACACACCTTCACTTTGCCGAGAATGTCACCCCACCCCAGCCTCGTGCCCAGAGACCGAGATATGGCCCAGATCTCTCGCCGCCTCCTGGCCCGGGCAGAGGTGGATTTGTTGGAGGAGCCCAGGTGGAAGGTGCCCAGGACCCTCTGCCGAGCTCCTGTTGGCACGGCAGGCTGGGTAGCCTCTCAGCTGGCCCGTCTCTCTGGTGCTCCCTCCATCAGAGGGCAAGGACTCCTGTTCCCCAGGAGGTCGGCCATAACCCATACACCACGTGGGCCTTCAGGCTCGTGACCCTGCCTCTGTTCCCTGGAGTCCTGCCTTGGCCCCTTCGCCCAGGGCAGGGCCCACCCCTCCCAACCGTCTCCCTTGTTCCTGGGCTCACTTTACTGTCTTCCTCAGCCTTCCCACAGCTCTGGGAACTGGAGCTTATGGGCCGCTGTTTAACTCTCCCCCCTCACCTGTGTCAGCTGCATCTCCCCATCAAGGCAGTGATGGCTTCAGGGGCAGGGACCACGTGGGCTCGCCCCCAGTGTGGTGCTGAGTGGGGAATCTGTGGCTAGTACGGGAACGCCGGTCCAGGTGACCCGGGGGGTGGGGGCTTGAGCCGGGAGAGGAGCCCCGGCCGAGCGCACTCCTCGCCCCCACGAGCACTTTCTGTTCTGTTGGCAGGGTGCAACCTGAAGATCTTCAACAACCAGGAGTTCGCCGCCCTCCTGGCTCAGTCTGTCAACCAGGGCTTCGAGGCCGTGTACCAGCTGACCCGGATGTGCACCATCCGCATGAGCTTCGTCAAGGGCTGGGGAGCCGAGTACAGGTCGGGGCTGGGGCGCCTGTGCCCGGGATGCGGGGACTGCGGGTGGCTCAGAACACAGAGCAAGGGCTCCCCAGAGATGAGCTAGGCCGGCCCTTGCCCCGAAGAGCAGAGGGACCAGGGTTCCGAGCGGGGCCGAGTCCCACTAGACAAGGAAGAGCTGAGCAGTGCTCGCCCAGTTTCTCAGGAGCTGGGAGCGTTCCATCCTCACCACAACCCTGGGTGGGGACGCTGGCATCGCCCCCATTGTACGGATGAGGGAACAAAGGCCCAGGGAGGGAAAGCGGCTAGCCTGAAGTTGCATCATTTGTGGAAAAGCTGAGCCTAGAACTGTGTCCTCTTGGCGTCTTCCTGGTTGTTCGTTTTGGGCAGATGGTTTTAGGAAGACCCTCTCCGGGGAGTTAAGTCTTCATCTCACTGTTCCTTCTCTCCTCTGTGGCTCCATCTCTGACCCGGTGACCCTGAGGATCTAGGATATTAAAACTGAGAAGCAGGGAAGGGAGGAAGAGATTTGGGTAGTCAAAGGAACAAAACTTACTTGCTCAGAAATGATTTTTTCAGAATTTCTGAGATACTGGTTTTTTCAGATACTGGTTTAAACATGGCACTGGTCAGGGGTGTCCCTGGTTTGCTCTGTCGAAACTCTCGGGCCACTCTGGCGTGGGCTTAGAGAAGCCCGTTCCTTTTCCTTCCACACCTGGACAGGAGTTTCCCCTAGAGGCAGGTCTGTGTGCCCAGCCCCGACTCCGCGGCAGACACAGAGGTGCCCACACGTCAGCTGGAGCCAGCGCCTCGCAAGTTACTCTCCCCTTCTCTTCATTTTTCCAGATGTTTGGAATCCATTTTGTTTTGCAGTCATTCTGCACCCAGGCCAAACCCATTTCGGTATTGGCTCTGGGCCACCATTTATAATGAAATCCAGATGAGCATGACTTATGGAAAGTCAGATTCTCATTAGAGGATTTCGGTCCATAAAATCCTCCTCTTTCATTTACCGTACTTCAGCTGCTGTTCTCCGTGTCTGCCCCACAGTGCCAGGGAACACAGCACCTCGGTCTCTGGGGGTCTCTCTCAAATCCGGGATGAATGACCAGTTGAGCTATCCGAGTGGTCAGCCGTCGGAGAACTTACAACCCAGTTATAATGGCCTGAGATTAGCCCAGGCCCAAAGGCCCAGCCCAAGGGACGTTTTAGCTCACCTTTTGGCCTTGGCTGAATCATTTAGGGAGCAAGAGTTGAAAGGTTAGAAAATTAATCTTCTTTTTAGTTGGGGAAGGGAAATATTTAAAGATGGACCCAGTGGAAAAGAGCCAGAGGGAGGTCCGTTTGTTCCTGTTAGCACTCAGACTGCAGTCCAGAGGGCCACACTCAGGCACCCAGGTCAGGCAGGCACGCCAGGGCCGAGTCTGCAAGCCCATTTCTAACCCTCCACTCGGGAGAAGCTCAGGCCGAGCAAGCAGGGTGGTGACCTCGGGCCAGCGGCTCTTGACCTGGTGCAGCACTGCAGTCCTCCAGGTTCAAGTGCTTGGGAAGAGGCCCCTGCTGGCAGAAGCCTTTCCCTGGGGGCACTGTGTCACCGTGCAGGACATACTGCCAGCACACCCAGTCCTGTGCAGCCCACCACGTCACTGCCACCTGGCAGCACCGCAGAGCAACCTAACTGGTGGTGCGGCCCCTTCCCAGAACAGTCTCGCCCTCCTCCTGCCTCCTGGGCCAAGGAGAGTAAGGTTTCACCCCTTCCTGTGAGGTGGCTGAAAGCAGAGCCCAGGCCTCTCACCTCCAGCTGGCACCAGCGCCTCCGGCCTCAGCAGATAGCCTTTGCTCAGTGGAGGCCTTTGGGAGCTTGCCTGCAAGCTGCGTCATCAACCAGCCCGAATTTAGACAAAGTGCTTTGGGGAAAAGAAACGTGTGGTGTGCCTTAGTTTTTTCCAGTAATTGTTCCACGGCTTGCTCTGCTCGTAAGATTTTCCAAAAATAAGGCCATAGATGGGAATTGTATCAGCACATCGGGGACCGACAGCATGTGGAGTCTGTCGGCGCCCTGTAAGAAACACCCCTCAATCAGGCAGACGCACGTCATCGCGGCCTGCTGGGGGTGGGTCGGGGCTGAAGGCAGGGGAGCTGTAGGTGCCCTCTCAGGACAGGGGGACCAGAGAGACCTTTGCTCTGGCTGAGGTTCTCCATCAGGAGCCCATCAAGGCAACCGGGGGGCCTCTGGGGTACCCTGGAATTTGCCTTACATGTTTCTCTTTAAGGGGGCCCCTTCCTTCCCTGGTGCAGGAGAACCTTCCCTGATTTACTCAAAGCCCTTCCTGCTTGGAGTTTGGCCCGGCAGTTTCAGCAAGTTAGTGGCACCTCCTCCAGGACAGGGTCTAGCAAGGCAGCCCGTATCTCTGGCTCTGGGAAGAAGCCTGTCACCAAAGCAGGAAAAGGCATTCTGACATGTGTGTGTGTGCTTCTGGACATTCTTAACATCCCCCAACCCACCCCTTTCCCAATGTCTTGCAGGAGACAGACCGTGACCAGCACCCCCTGCTGGATCGAGCTGCACCTGAATGGGCCTTTGCAGTGGCTTGACAAGGTCCTCACCCAGATGGGCTCCCCAAGCATCCGCTGCTCCAGTGTGTCTTAGAGACATTGGGTGTGAAGGGGGAGGGCGGGGAGGGTGGGCTTGGGGAAAATGGCCATGTAGGAGGTGGAGAAATCAGGACTCAAATCACGGTTGTCAAAGAAGAAGAAATTTTTCTCCCTCAACCAAAGTGGCACGAGCCTGTTTTACAGAACATGAAAGCAGACCCAGAGATGGATTTTTATGAACAGCTGTGTCTGCTGAACACATCTGCCCTTTGGCCCTGGTGTGAAGGGCAAGAAATGGCTTCTGCTCTGGTGGCTTGAGCAAACAGGTAGTATTTTACCACCAGCCCCCTCCCCCCAGCCCCCTTTTCTTTTAATGACAGCAAACTTGAGATGTCACTGCCCAACAGGAAGGCCCTGTGGTCAGGACCAAGTGCGGAATTTGCCTTGGGCACTCTAGAGGCAGGGAGAAGCCGGCAGGCAGGGGTATGAGCGCGCACCTCGGGCCCAGCCCTCTTCTTCCAGTGAGCATTCCTGAACCCCAGCAGCGGCAGACCTTGCACCCTGGGGGCTGAATTGACTTGGGGTGGGGAGGGGTCTTGTCTGTCTCCACCCCTCGGGGAGCATACTGATTGGTGTGAGCGAGTGTGTCCAGAACCGAGCACACAGGGACCTCCGGTGGGAAAAGGTGGTGACATCTCTTCTTTAAAAACACTCTTAACGTTGTCTGCATTTTCAGCAGTTGGAAGGATCTGTTGAGGCTCCAGCACGTAGGAAATGTATAGTTTGTAGCATCACGTTAATCTCAAAGAGATTTGAATTGTGTGAAGTGTTCCCGGGAAGCAGGAGGCAGTTGTCCGTGACGGTGTTCAGGCTGAGGCAGCACCACCACGGTGCGTGGTCTCCGGTCACCTGTAAGAGCTCGCTCCGCTTTCTCATGCATTCGGCTACATTGGCTGATGTAGTCAGTTGCGTTAATTAAATGAACGTCATCGTATGCTCTTTTAAACCTGTTTTATATTTAAAAAAAAAAAAAAAACCCAAAAAACTCTGGGTTGGCACGTTGATTGGGAAACCAGAGGGGGACCCAGCAACTTCTCCCCCAAAGTGAAGCTTTTCCAGGTTTTGTTGAGAAGACACCTGCCAGCACTTTTGGAAGCTGAAATTAACAAAAGCAAATTCACCAGGAGGGAAAGATCTCAGGCCAACACAAAAGCAAATGAAAGGGCTATTACAATTTTTTTTTTACACCTTTGAAAATTGCAGGTTTGGTGCAAAGAGGTCTGTCATCTTTCCCCTGGGATATGAGATTATCTAGCTCACAGTAGAGGATCATCAGTGACAACTCTAGCAGTTACAATGTGTAATAAGTACTGCTCCCAGTGGCAATTAGTGAGGAAACTACTATAAGTTATTTCAACTGGAAAAAAAAAAAAGAGCCCTCTTCTACTGGCCTTTTGCAGAATGCAGCAGATGGAATTGCCACTTGCAATTTGGTACTTTATACTTTGCTGCTGTTTCTGTATGAAATGACTTATCCCATATTTTTGCATGGATTTCTACCAGGAAAAATAAAGGGATTTCCTATGGAAGTCCTGTCTTAATTGCAGGTGAAGGGAAGAAAGTGTACACTTTTGGCAGGTATAAACCTCAAATGTGATGACATTTCTGATGCTATATGGAGATGCTGGGGGCTTCCTGGGTGCCTCACTTGCAGGAGCCTAGGCCTCTGAAGCTCCAGCCCTCAAGTTTCCAGGTAGGAGAGCTGCTTGCCAAGCCTCCAGAGGACACAGGAAGAGACAAGAGTACCTTGCCAGACCTGGACCGGTCTTTGCGCAGGACTGTCGACACAGAGCCGGAGACAGTGTGTAGTCCCTCACTCCACCTGAGGGGGCCAGATACTGCGAGTCTGAAGTTCGTGCCTGGTATGAAATGATGGTGGACTGCTTCTTTTAGATACAGGAAATCATCTGAACCTCCTGGATGTGTGTTCCTGCTCCCAGTCAGGTCTGAGACTCATGGTATGACTTCTTATTCCATTTTGGCCTCGGCTGAAGCCATCGTCGTGCCCCCTCTAAAAGCCATGGGGAGCAGTTTCTGAGGGCCCGCGTTCTCCACCTGCTAACGCGATCTCCTGTGAGGGCTTCCTACGGCGCACAGCTGTCCCCCAGGTACTTGGGAACTGGCTTCAGGTACAGCCCAATTTGGGTGATCTTGTTGGTCACATCTGGCTGCATTTGGATGGTGTCTTAGAACCCTCAGTGCTCAAAGCTAAAGGCTACTTCTAGGAGGCATGAAGTTTTAATTTTGTGCTTTTCCGAAAGCTACTTACTTGGCCCTTTTTCTTTCTAGACTAGACTAGACTGCTGGAGGAGGATGAGAGGAAAAAGTGGGGAAGCCCACCTTCAGCACCATTGAAAAGAAATTTGGTTGTACCCAGAAGTTAGGATCTGGTTTCATTCCCACCATAGAGGCTGCGTAGGTGGCTCTGAGGCACGTGTCATATTAGTGTCCTTCAAGTCATAAAAATACTTTTAAAATCCTATTGCCTGAAGGCATTTGGACATTGAAAAACTTAAAAGGACAGCTGAAAGGGGCAGGAGGAAATCAGGGCAGTTCTGGGGGGTGACGGTGGCTGTTGGAGACCCTTTTCAGTGCCGTTGTCCAGGCTGCACAACGTGCCTTGTTCCCCTGCCCCGGGCTCCCCGCCAGGCCACCTTCACCTTGCGGCTTGTGCTGACGCTGACCTGAGTAGCTACAGCGCGGGGGCCCTAGATCCTGGCCTCAGCACCTCCCTCAGGAGCCAACTTGTATTCCCTTAACTCTCCGCCCACTGCCTCCCCCCTCCTAACTTTATTTAGTACTTGGAGCCTTCCAGTGCAAGTAGGTAGCCGCCCCGGCGGTTCGGGTTACAGGCCTGTGCTGGCCAGTCTTCTCTGCTGGCCACCTTCCTGGCAGGCTGCAGATCTGACATTCTGAGACAAGCCCAGAGTCAGGAGCAGGGACTTGGACTCTTAGGAAGAACAGACATGAGGGCAAGGCTGCTGGCAGACTTTTCCATTGTCCTTATGTTGTCTGTGCTGTATTTTTTTATTTACCATGGTGATTATTTTTTTAAATCATTGTTAATGTATTGGAATGAGCTGTAGCACGTATCTTGTGCTTTTTTGTTTTCTCCATCTCCCTCTGGCTTCCTAGAGTTTGGACGTATTCCAGGGCTAAATGCTTTTACTTACACCGCAGAAAAAGGTTTTCTTTAAGAAACGTGTGCATGTCATGCATGTATGTGAGTAGCCTGGGGAGACGGCAGATATGAAATCTGATTTCATTCTCAGCCCCAAGCTGCCATTTCTGAGGCTCCGTGAGGGTCTCTGCGGGGTGAGAGCTCACATTAGAGCTCTCATTAGGCCACTCTCTGTAGTCCTTAAGAGGAGGGAGGGAGGGACAGGAATCTGCAGACTGCTCAGGGGACTGTTTACCAAGGGGGTTACCCAGTAGCAAGAGAGGGCATGAGTTTGGTTCTGGGCCCTGTGTCTTACTGTGTGACTAAGTGGCACAGTTGGGAGTTTTTCCCAAATCTACATCTTTGCTAGAAGAAAACCTCAACACAGCTAAGTCGTACCATTTTTCTTTGTGTGGCACACATGTTCCCTTCTAGAACCCCTTCAAGTAAAGAGTCTTTCAGGAGTATCAGCCACTCCGCAAGTGGGTGGGAAAGCAGAAAAATGTATGGATCTAAAAGGAAGGTGATGGAAGAGTGGGGAAGTGACTTGCTCTACAGGCAACCTTTCAGAAACGCAGCTGTCACGTGCAAAACCTCGCGTATTGTGTAAACTGGATTGAGAAGTTCTCTCAAGTGATCCTGTAATTTTTTTCTTTTATGCTAAAGTAATGTACACTCGAGCATTCTGGTGTTTTAATATTTATGTAATAATTTCTTAAAACCATTCAAGACAGATAACTATTTAATTTTTTGAAGCAAGTTGGAAAAGGCTCTCCTCCCAAGGACAGTGGCTGGGAAGAGACGGGGCACAGCCAGTTCCAATCGCTGGTAGAGGGTGCGCTGGTTGGTAGAGGGTGCAGCGGCTTTTGGGCTCAGCACCTGGAACGACCGACCCAGGCTGGCTTCCCACGTGGCAGCATGTGACACAGGCAGCTCGGAGTCGAATACAGGCCCTGACGTGGGGGCCTCTGAACCAAGCCCCTCTCCCTCCCTAGGGGTGAGAACTTATACAGAGGGATGGGAGCCATCTTCCTCCAGGAAGCCTTCATTTCACCCTCAGTGCTGCTGTTGCAACGAGGCTGTTCTGGGCGGGACTCCTGTTCGGGTGTGCGTTTGGGTGGGGGAAAAGAACGCGGAGGATGCTGATTACCTTCCCTTCTCAGCCAGCCTGACCTTTTAAATACCTTTGTAAAAAGCATGTATGTATTTATATAGTGTTTGTTTTAGATTTTTCTAACTTTTACGAGCAGAGCACCTGTTTAAGCATTGTACCCCTATTGTTAAAGAACTGTGTCCTCTCGCTCCTCTCTCCCCTGTAAGTGCCCTTCTAATAAACTTTTCATTGAAAAGCTGCTGGGCCAGAAGCTCGCTCTCATTCTCGCTGCCATGTGGGTGGAGAGGAGAGGTTAAAGGGCCCCGGGGGCTTCAGAGAAACGTTGTCTCCAAGCCCAAGTGCACTCTGACCAAGGATGTGCCAGGTCGCATTGTGCCACAGCCCCGCTGCCCTCACTCACTCACCGAGGGCAACACGCGGTGCCAGCCAGTCCTGCAGGGATAGCGGGAGCCTCCGGGTCAGGCACGTGAAGATGTCAAGTCTCCCAGTTGGCACGTCTCCCACCCAGCACTGCACAAGTCCCAGCAACGCTGTCTCCGCGTTGTTACTTCGCGTTCATTTCCCTTGTATTTGAGAGCCTTTGGCAAGTGAGTGGACGCCACCGGATTAACCTTGCCACAGGCAATGGAGGTAGGTTTCAGGTTCCGAAAGAAGCAGGTTTCCACACTCTCCAGCTCACATGACTTAGCTCCTGTGAAAATCCATTTTAAATTCCAAACGCCCAAGGAGAAAGAGACTTCAAAATTGTTTTCCATGGCTGAATCTTACACTGACCCCAGCTGATGTGGCTTAAGAAACAGGATGATTAAAATGAATAAACAATTTGGGGGAGGCGGAAGGGGCCTGGCGTAACTCTCTAGCTGGGCCACTTCTACAGCAGCCTTCCCTCCCAGGACCTCACCGGAGTCCACACATGCTGTACCAGGAGGGAGGCAGATTTCCCAGGAATGGCACCCACGTGCCTATACGTTTGGTCTCCATGAACTACATCAAATCCCTACCTTCGTTGTTATTTGGCCAGTTCTAGCCTCCCACCCCTAAACGACTTTCCCCAAGGTTTCATCTAGTCACTCTCTTGGCAAATGACTCTCACTTCCCTACCTCTAAACCAACCTGTTCCTTGAGCGCCACGACTTTAAATTCCAGCTTCCTGTGAGACGCGGTCCAAAACAACTCCCCCAAACTGAATCATCTCCCGTCTTGCCCAAGCAAGCTCCCTTTCCTGACTCTCTGTGTCGATCGGGAGCCCCCCTGCCGCCCCACCTTCTCCAAGTCCTGAGCAGCTTGACGCTTTGCTTTTCCTTGCTCCCCCCCGCCCCCCTCCTCCCACCTCTGCAGCTGCCCCCGGTGATCCAGCCTCCCTTCTGGAAAGGCCTTGACTGTCCGCTCTCCTCTTTTTCTCAGGCCTGCACCTCCCCCCCCTTCCATGGGGGTATCCCCAGACCAGTGTACGCACTCTTGACATTGCTCCCTGAGAGAGCTCATCTGACCTGTGTGATTTCAAGCCACATAAATGCTAAGGACTCCCAAATCAGTATTTCTAGCCCAGACATCGATCCCCAGCTTCAGACTCATATCCAACAGCCTGCTGGCTACTGGTACGTGGAGGTGCCACAAGTACCTCAAAACTCAGCTTAAAAACCGAAGTCATCCTTGC